GTTTGTGGCGAATATTGCTTAATGTATTTGCTATATAAGTTTCAGGGATGTTCATAGCATAGTTTTACGAGTATATTTACAGAGAACACATTGTACAACGATATTTTAGTGGATGAGATGTTTCGCTCCTATTTTATAGATAATAAGTAATAAGATTTTGTATTTTATAAATAAAAATTTTAACAAAATTAGGTAATGTGTTTTATTGATGATTCAGATTAGTGTTGTAGATAGGAATAAAGGAGTATAATACAATAGCATAAGCCGACCCACACGCTGACGAATAATAGATAATGACGGTAGTCAATCAACAATAGATAAGTAGATAAGGACAATGGAGCGCTAATGACGGTTGAGGCTCGCAGCGGATATCAATTAGATAAGAGTTAATTGATCTGCACATCTCCGGAACCGTGCATCCTACGCAAAAATGGACCGCAGATTCGTGATCAGAGCATGCCAAATCCTTTCTTTTTTTTTTTTAGGATTGTGAGTCGACGAACGTCGTGCGCCAGAACTGGTACAACCTTTCTACAAGTGCGCCAGAACTGGTACAACCTAACTACTGATATACTAAAAATGGGCCAAATTAAGAGTACCCTTAACCGACGAGCATGTATGCGTAAGTATATGGATGTGGAAGAGGCGAGAAAGGTATGTCAGGATCATGCTAAATGGAAGTCTGTAGTCTCTGCCTACCTCTCTGGGTGACGGCGTGAGTGTTTATGAATGTTAATAAAACGAGATAGATCCGTAACACCAGTTTAATTCAATGTGCAGTGTTCTCGTAAAAATAAGAAATTTTATAACAATTTTGTTTACGACAGCCAAGAAATAATCATACTGCTGATGGTTAAGGTACAAGTATACAAGGTATCTTCGAGGCAAGAGTGAATATGCTTTTGTTACGCTTATACTTCGATTTACCATCTAGGAGTTGAAGTGGTCATCACCACTTATCAAGTTGGATTGCATTCAAGCTCAAGCATATAATGAGGTAAAAAATGGGAGAGGCATGTGTCCAGTGTTGCTAGAGTGGGGAATTTTATCCTAAATTGAGTGGATTTTAGACGGCATGATGGGAAACTTTGGGGAAACCTTCTTTTAGGGGATTTATTCAGGGGATTTACAAACTTCGTTGAAACAAATGAAAGAAGAACGATTTCGAACGAAAAGAGCTCGAAACAGAAATTATAAAAAGTTCATTAATAAAAAAAGTTTTACACTTACAAAACAATGTGTTTAATGTATTTTATTATCATAGTAAAATACATTTTATGCTGAACACAATAATATATAATATAATAATATGTACCTAATAATTTTTACAAAAAATATTCCAAAATTTGTACTTCAAGTTTTTTTCACGTTCAAAATTTTAATTTATTTTTGTATAGTAAAATTTTCGAATAAAAGTTAACAGATGTCTAATAATTTCAAAGTTATTTGATTAAGGGGATTTTATTTTAAAGCGTGTGAAAGTGGATGAGTCTATCTGGTAACACTGCATATGTCCGAGCAGTGGAATTATGCGGGCTGAAGACGACGATTAATTATAATATTAAGTCGTGTTTGTATTGTTTTCAAAGTTAGGAAAATAACAGTAATACCCGTATATAATTACAACATTTCTAGGCATTCCAAAAATTTCAAGAAAGTGATAAACCTTGAACTAGCAATTTTATATTATTTAAAGGCTTAATTTCTTTCATTTTGGTAGTTCTTCTTAAATTGTTAATAACGAAGTTACAGCTTGTTGGAAGTCCACGGCTGAGTATATGTGCCTCCGCAAAAAAAATTGCCTCATAGAATAGTGGCTCTTGGCAGGCGGGCTTGAAACCGTTTTTTTTTTCTTTTCGTAGAATAAGACGAACGACCACACAGCCCACCTGATGGTCAGTGATTGGTGATTGCTGTGTCCCATAGACATCTATATTTATCCTAGATTAAGAATCAAAAAGTATATGCGGTTTCAACACTGAGTACTAAGACGGAATACCTCGTTTCCAGTAAAAAGGGTCTCCGATTATCTACATTCACTACGGAGCACAGCATTATTAAGCTGCTTTTTTACGTGAGTATTCTGTGAGTGCCTGGTCCTGCCCCGTTCGAGGCAACCCATTCTTGCTACAACCATAATATAGCTGTAGCCCGGAGCTACCACGTAAAACGTTTAAAACGTTAATATTTTCAATTGTTACCAAGAACACGCCGCTGTCCATCTCCTGGATTCTTCCCCTGTGTTGCCTGTTACGACACCCATGGGACGATATGATGTAGTGGATATTCTTACACCGCCAGTACTTTCTGATAATTAACTTGCCATAAATCCTCTCATTCTCATTGGAATAAAAACGCATATTCACAAATTATAATTTATTAAATACGATTTTGTCAGCATATTACATAATTCCATAGCCATTACGTAGGTACAAACATTACAAAAAAGCTAAAGCGGACATTTTACATTTTTCTAGCTTTATTAATTTATCATACAATAAAATATATCACATCAAATGTCTTTTAAGACCTTGTAACACTAATTTTCACAGTTTATTTTAATAGGTTAATGATACATGTACTTAATTCTAGATAGGGATTGTCATTAATGATAATAAATCAAGCAGCGCAACAAAAATATTTACAAATCAACATAAAACGCAATAATTAAACTCAATTAAAATATTAAAAATTAAAATATTAGAAATTAAATAACATAAGTCAACACATGAAAATAATCACACATAATATATTTAAACTTACAACTTGTGTTGAAACAGACCTAAACAAGGAAAGTTGTTGCATAATTTAAGAATAACAATTCTAAATATAATCAAACCTGGTTGAAAGTAAAAATATAAAATCGATCAAATAACACAAGTTGCATACTTAAAAACATACAGTCTAACTGGCTCGCCAGGCAGACGTTGTTCTGCCATTTTCGACGTGTCCTATTAAAAAACATTAAATTCACAAAAAATAATTGTGGGTTACTCACGGGCAAAAAAACTATCCTATCTCTCAAGTTGAACCAAACAGCACACGGTGTGCAAATTTGATTAAAATCGGTTAAGTAGTTTAGGAGTCCATCGCGGACAAACAACGTGACACGTAATTTATATATATTAACTAGCTTGCCAGGCAAACGTTGTTCTGCCCTTTTCGACGACCCTTAGTCCTATATAAAATCCTTAAATTCGCAAAAAAAACTTTTTGGGTCACTCACGGCCTAAAAAACTATCCTATCTCTCAAGTTGGACCGAACTGCACATTGTGTGCAAATTTGATTAAAATCGGTTAAGTAGTTTAGGAGTCCATCGCGGACAAACAACGTGACACGTAATTTATATATCTTAAGATTAAGATTAATAACCTATTTCCGTCATAATTGAAGTCGTTTATGATAATTGAAGTTAAGAATGTCATTAAATCAAAAAATCGGCAACTCCATTGTTTTATTTTAAAGAGCTGATCACACTGACCGTTAATTCAGCTTGGCTTAGCTAAACGTAATACAATCTGTTTTCATAGGCTGATTCATTGTGGAAAACGAGCATAATATACTCGTATTCACACTACGAACTAGAGAGACAAGGCAAATAAAAGCAAGTTGAATTGTGCCTTCTAGTTAACCCAATGATTCCAACTAAGCAAAGTAAACTCTGTCGCCCTTCTTCCTTACGTTGCAAATTTAATATAGTGTTACCAACGGAGCTTACCAACATATGACGAAAGTATAAAAACTTTGTCATTTAGTATAGTTAATTGGTCAGTTAAGTTAAGCGTCAATAATTAAAATATGACTCACAACATATTTCTTAAAGTTACATATTCCATTTGTAAATATGTATCTTGGAACCCATTAGTCAATATTCGAGAAACGTTTCGGCCCCCGTTATAAACCGTTTTATTAAAGTAAAAGAAGTGTGGTTTTTATCTTACGACGATTTAAAAGAAACAAATAAGTAAGTTGATGAACTATATTGTTTTTAAATCGTTCTGCTGAACTGGTCGTAAAGGAAAACGAAGATTTTAAAATATATTTACACCAGGTACCAGTAATACACACCATCGTCGATGTCAGATAGCGATGATTGTTTCGGTTATGATAGTGCACACACTAATTTAGACCTAGCCCTGTACCGCAGGGTGTACTCCTAGGTCCTAGGTAATACATAACATTTTTGTACAGCAAACAGGTATTTAAATCATATTTATGGTATAAAATGTTTATAATCTCAAATGTTCAAAACATTCAGCAAAGCAACTCATTATATAAAGGTATATTCATATTGTTATAATAATTTTATATCAAAGTGTACATTTCCATACATCTACAACAATGGTTGCTTCTTCAATCTTCTAACGTAGGTGTAAAATCAAACAAAGCAGCGCCTATCGTTGATAAAACATCTACTGTACTACAACTACAAAGGAAAGAAAACTATTTTGAAATAATATTACGATCATTAAATTATGCTATTAGGTGATATGGTTGTATACATGTAACTTCTTCGATCGGAAAGTGTATACAGTTCTCTTTTTTCTTTAAAAGTTTAAAAAATATAATATAATATCTCCAGCTTCATTACTCTGCACACCTTTTTCGTTATTAGCTAGTTAATGTCAGAATTATTGGTAATTAAAATAAGTCATAAGTGTGCACGACGTTTTCATTCCGCAATGAAAATAAAGCTTTTAATTTTTCTAAACCTAATATTGGAAAAAGAAATAATTTTTTCAAAACTCAAAGCAATATTAATTCCGAGCCGAGGCTTCAGATATTTTTCTATTAAAAATACATAAAAACAAAACTAATTTAAACAAAACGCCTAACACAAAATCAGAATGAATAATACAATAACGTTTGTCAAATTCTATCACATTTATTTCTAAAAGTTATAAATTAGACTATTCTGGAATCGTTCAACAATACCATAAATAAACTGGGTACAAACCTAGCTTGTCTAAGATCCTTATGCTAAAGAGGCCACCGGCAATCACATGTTGACACAACGCAACTTTTTGTCCGGAATTCTCGACGCGAACTGGAAACTTGGAACAACCGCTCTTGCTTCCTGCTTGGGCTCTTCTTTCTTCTCCGTCGTTTCACCCATTAATGTCCTGAGACAAATCTTCATTTCCCCAGCGAATTTCCTAACTAGTCTCTCTAAAGAAAAGAGATGCTCGTCTAATGCGTCTGGGACCTCATCCCTCATGAAGTCAGCTAGTTTTAAAAGATATTCAACGTTGGATCCAGATGAACCGTGGCATTCTAGGATTTGTTTTGCTATATCCGGCAGTGGTGCCGCGCCAAGCCAATGGCGGTTTTCTGGCACAGCTATATACAGGAGCGCGTCTTTTTTATCAGTGAAATGTGAACTACTACTGTGGGAAGATACAAATAAAGATGGACGTGGATGAAAGTTTACGGTGTAAATTTTGTATCCGCCGAGTTGGCATTCCCTTGTAGATAGATACGGAAGAGCTGCGTGATTTTCTGCTGCTACTAAGAACGCCTTGCCCCAAGTGATGCCCTGAAACAAAGAAGAACATTGAAATTTTAAATCTTAAATATCTAGTAAACTGTAAGAGTGAAGTCACACAATGTACGGAGTTTGGACAGAAATAGAAATAGAAATAGAAACTTTTTTATTCAATGTAGATTATAAAAATACTTATTGAAGGTCACTTTTTTAATTTACCACTGGTTCGCAAAAAAAAACCTCTGTCCTGGGAAGAACCAGCAAGAAACCCAGCGGGACTATTTTTTTCCAATAATAGCTTACAATCATGTTTACAATCGACAACACAAGACAAATTAGAAATAGCTTGGTAGCGATCACCCTTCCCAGGGGTTATTATCATCTATAAATTCCTTAATATTATAATAACCCTTTTTATACAAACTTAGTTTAATAACATTTTTGAACTTTGTGTATGACAAATTTTGTATATTTTCTGGGATTTTGTTGTAAAAGCGTATACATCGCCCCAAGAATGAATTACTGACTCGGTGGAGTCGAGTAACTGGTACTACCAGCTTGTGTCTGTTCCTAGTATTTACAGAATGAATATCACTTATTTTCGCAAAACTACTTTTATTTTTGTGTACGTACATTACATTTTCATAAATGTATTGAGAGGCCAGAGTTAATATATTAATTTCTTTAAATTTTTGTCTCAGTGACTCTTTTGGTTTTAAATTATATATTGCTCTAATGGCCCTCTTCTGTAAAATAAATATAATTTCAGTGTCAGTCGCGTGTCCCCATAGCAAAATACCATACGACATAATGCTATGGAAATAACTGAAGTAAACTATTCTAGCTGTTTCAACACTGGTAAGAGTTCTAATCTTTTTTACAGCATATGCTGCAGAACTAAGTCTGCTAGCTAGTTTTGATATATGGGGGAGCCATTGAAGCTTTGCGTCCAGTGTGATTCCAAGAAAAATGGTGGTATCAACAAGACTCAGTTCCTCCCCATTTAAAATTACATTAGTATTGACATGTTTAACATTAGGAGTTACGAATTTCATACATTTAGTTTTAGTTCCATTCAAATGCAAATTATTAACATTAAACCAATTGAATAACTTAGCTATAGCATTATTTACTTCGTCGTAATTTAATAACTGTCTTTTTAATTTGAAAATTAATGAAGTATCATCAGCAAATAATACTATATCATGGTTATCCCCTACTATGTAAGGTAAGTCATTAATATATACAAGAAACAGAAAGGGGCCAAGAATTGAGCCCTGAGGCACGCCCATTTGTACAATCGACCCAGAAGAACTCATACTATTAATAACAACTTTTTGTGTTCTGTCACTTAAATATGAAATAATTAATTTAAGAGCATCATTTCTTATACCGTAGTGTTGAAGTTTCCTAATTAATGTTTCATGGTGAACACAATCAAAGGCCTTGGATAGGTCACAGAACAAACCCAAAGCATCCTGTGAATTCTCCCATGCATTAAATATATATTTAATCAGCTCAACACCAGCATCAGTTGTCGAGCGACCCCTTGTGAAACCAAATTGATTTTTATGAAGTAATTTATTTACATTAAAAAAAATTAACAATTGATCAAGAATAATTTTTTCAAAAATTTTACTAAGTGTTGGCAGTACAGAAATAGGTCTAAAATTAGCGGGGTCCAATGTACTACCAGATTTAAATAAAGGTATTACTTTACTATGCTTCATTAAATCAGGAAACACACCAGATTTGATACTACTATTAAAAATAATAGATAGTTGAGGTGCAATTGTATCTATTATAGACGCAATAATTTCAACAGAAATCCCCCACAGATCGGCGGTTCTCTTAATATCAATAGTCTTAAAATATTTTACAATATCTTTTGATGAAACTTTATGAAATGCAAAATTCTTTGTACACACATTTACATTTTGTTTAAGTAATGATTCGGCGACGGTAGGAGAAGAATTCAGTGACTTAGTGGTTAAGATCGGAATATCAGTAAAATATTTCTCAAAAACCATTGCAACGTCCTGATCTGATTTAGTTAATTTATTGTTAAAACTTAACTGGTAGTTTGAATTGCGAGAGTTGACCTTACCAGTTTCACTATTAATTATACTCCATGTCATTTTAATTTTATTAGAAGCAGTCTTTATTTTGTTGCTTAAATACAATGACTTGGCTAAGGAGCACACTCTTTTAAATATTTTGGAATATTTTTTTACATATTCCCTAAATTCGACGCTAGGATTATATGACCTTTCATTGTAAAGTTCATATAACCTTTGTCTACTCTTATGGACTCCTACTGTCGCCCATTCATTAAATGCTTTACGATTATTCAAGGAGAGTGTTTTAGAAGTAAAAGTATTATTAAATTCATTGCAAATGAGCTTAAATAATTTTGCATACAAAAAATTTGGATTATTTTGGTATGAAAGTAATGGAAGTTTTTTTACTATGTTACTTCTAAACTTCTCCAAGCGATGTGCATTTACTGGAACAAACACTACTTTTTTATCTACTTGCTTTTTGTGAACATAAGGTAATGAAACAAATTGTCCACAGTGATCAGAGCTCAATTTTTGAATAATACATTTATTGAACGGCTTAACATTTGTAAAAATGTTATCTATACATGTTGCACTAGATTCAGCAATACGTGTTGGCTCCAAAAATAAATTAAAAAGACCATAAGATTTAAACAATGATCTAAATTTAATATTAGTGGAGGAAGCTTCTAGGAGATTGATATTAAAGTCTCCACATATTACAACAGATTTATTCTGTTTATTAAGCTTAGCGAAAACTTCCTCCATAATTTTTTCAAAAGTATCATATAATGAACATGGGGGTCTGTAAACGCTCACAACAATGAGGTGCTCAAACTCAACACATGCCATTTCTACAGTTCGCTCAACAGAGAGGCTCACAATATCTTTACGTTCTTTATATGATAATAATTTACTAGCTAAAATTAAGGAGCCACCTCTTAAAATCGTTTCTCTATTGAAAGAACTGAGCACCTGGTGATTACTAAAGTTAAACATTAAATTATGAGCTTTTAACCAATGTTCAGTAATACATAAAATATGAATATTGTTGCTATTTAAAAACAATTCAATTTCTAGCTCTTTGCCTATCATGCCTTGTATATTCTGATGCACCAGGTGTAAACAATTTTTAATATCATTTTGTGGAGTTATAGATATATAGATACAGAACCAGACACTTGGAAGTAAACAAAAAAAAAAAGAAAAAATAGTGACACAATGTCACGTAGGACCGAGTCAACATTTGATTATCCTGGTGTATCGTATCTCCGTAGCATAACGCAGACGTCTGTCATGATGGCTAGTTCGGACGCAAAATTATACATGTGATACCGTATTTGACATTTCCATTTTGCACAAAACACGTAATATCTTGATGGGTATTAAGCTGGTGCGATAAGACGCCGCGTCCTATCTCTAGTCGGTTTTTGACCGATTATCATAGGGTAATAAATAATACACGCCGATATTATACGGTCTTGAAGGTTTAATACGTGGAAAAGATACGAGGATCGGAGAAAAGTAGATCTGGGTATATGTTTATACATATACGGAGGCCAGAAATGTTCTAAATATATATAAGTATGGAAGCATTTTTGACACAATGCGATAATGTCGAAATTTGCGCCCATATTTAAGGTACAATTACACGTATTGATTACGAGATACGAAAACATCATGATCTAAGGTGGACCCGGCCTAATGCGATCGACATTTCAATTTCTATTGTTTCAAACGAAGTTAGGTCACGTGTAGGTACAATTAATATTAATAATTATAATATAAAACAATACTATCGCCGCAGCCTATATCTTTATTATGCTGTGTTACCGCGTTGCACCACATGATAGTATTTATCATTCAGACGTTGTCTTGAGTAGTAGCTAAAGACTATATGATTTTCAAACTAATTATTTATAGTGGCGTAGGCAGTTTTACTAGAATGTTTTTAATTGCTCCACAGAGCAATTAAAAACAAATTCCTCCATAATAGCCTAAATGCACAACTTATTGCGTAGTTTTTTTTTCTGACTGCTACGCCATTAAAAGAAAGAAAACGACCCCGTTGCTTGGCAGGGTGCGGACTAACTTCAACTTCATCATGAAAATAATTACATTTATTACTTTATTATTATTACTTTATACGTGGTAGAGCCATGCTGCAGTTATATTAGTAGTATAGTTGTAGCACGAATGGGTCGGCTCGACCGGGGAAGGACCACGCTCTCACAGAATACCAGCGTGAAATAGTAGCTTAATGCTGCTGTATTTCGTATGGTGAGTGTAGAGAACCGGAGACCCATTTTACTGGAAACGAGGCATTCCATCTTAGTCCTCACGGGTGACAACGCATCTGCATTTTGATTCGTAATCGAGGATAGATGTAGATGTCTATGGGCCAAAGCAACCACTTACCATCAGGTGGACTGTGTGCTCGTTTGTCACCCTATCCTATAAAAAAAAAAAACATTTCATTGTCAGTCAGACAGTCAGTCACTAAATTCTATTCTCTTATGAATGACTACTATTTTTAAACTAATTATTTATAGTGGCGTAGGCAGTTTTACTAGATTGTGGAACAATTAAAAACAAATCCCTCCATATTTTCCTAAATGCACAGCTTATTGCGTAGTTTTTTTCTCTGCTACGCCATTACAAGAAAGAAAACAGCCTCGTTGCTTGGCAGGGTGCGGACTGACTTCAACTTCATCATGAAAATAATTACATTTCATTGTCAGTCAGACAGTCAGTCATTAAATTCTATTCTCTTATGAATAGCAACTATTTTCAAACTAATTATTTATAGTGGCGTAGGCAGTTTTACTAGATGTCGAGCAATTAAAAACAAATCCCTCCTTATTTTCCTAAATGCACAGCTTATTGCGTAGTTTTTTTTCTGACTGCTACGCCATTACAAGAACGAAAACAGACTCGTTGCTTGGCAGGGTGCGGACTAACTACAACTTCATCATGAAAATAATTACTTTT